TGACAGAGGTATACGCTATACGTTAGAGCCGGCCATTCAGGCATAATCCAATCAAAGCTATCTATTTTATACGAACTAGACTTAAAACACACACATGACAACATTACTTTTATTGCGTTAGCAATTATAAGGACACTCTCGGCTGGATTTTGCCGCTGGCGTCACTCACCGTATATGTATTCGTATCTATGTATATAAAAACGCAAGAAAGAGAAAAAAATAATCCAGAAAAAGACACCGGCGCATGGAATCGAACGTGGGACCTCTGAATTCGGAGTGTAAGGCGTTAGCCACTGAGCCATGGAAGAGCACTTTCGTCAACGTTCAAACGGCAAGCTATTTATATCTGCACTTACCGCTGGGGACGGGCATCTCGGGGGAAACTATCGTGTATTCAGCGTTGCCAGCAAGATGGCGCAATGAGCGCGCGTCGCCACGTGGTCCCCACACGGTGGCGCGTGCTCTCATCTCCCACGTCTCCTTTGCCCCGCGGAGAGGGGGCAGGGTGGACGCTCACGCGTGCGCTTATCTCGCGGTGGGGACAATCGTATGTCTTGGCTGGCCTTGGGCTTTCACCGAAACGATGCTGTTGTAGTTACTGGGCACACAAAGATCACTGCAATCGTTGCACAGTCGCCGTTTGCGAAAAGGGTGCGCTTTTCAGACACAGCGAAGTAACAACTGAGACGCTTATTCGCGTTCATCTGTACCTGTGAGTACGTTTCGTGTTTCATTTGTGCATGAAAAACTCGGGACACGTTTCCATGTGCTTGTCATTTTGCGCTTGACTTTCTAATTTGTTGCTATCGCGTTCATTGCTTCGCATTGGTGGCAATGATGTGAACTTCAGGGGTGAAGCTCCTTGCGCCGTGGGTCGCATGTCCTGTGTCGTTGTCGTAGTAGCCACCTCTCGTTTAGTCCTTATAATTTCCACTGGATGGCAGTACTTGTATATGATGAATATAGGATGAAAGGATGCGAGATGGTGGGACCTGGATTGTTCACTAGATGACGGATGGACAGACAGATGGACGGATGCATGGTCGGACTGACGAACGGACAGACAGACAGACAGACAGACAGACAGACAGACAGACAGACAGACAGACAGACAGACAGACAGACAGACAGACGCACGGAGAAATGGACGAACGCTTCACCCCACTCATCATCATTTATATTCCGTGAATATGCTGTGATTTTTTTATAAAGAATGTTAGTAACTACGGCTCATTTGCCAGCCCAAACAACTTTACTACACGGAAAGAACGACAATCAAATTGAATCACTGTTGACCTCAAAACGCATTTTTGTTAAAGGTTAGTCCATACAATGTAATTCTCTGCCTGTACACACATATTTATATATTGCCCTTTAGTGCTCTTTTAAGCCATTCTTGCTGAAGTAAGAACCGATTTCACCATTATAATACATCGCAGTGTAATCCAATGCAAGGCAATCCGTAGCCAACTGGCCTACGCATGCTTCGAGTTTTTCTGGTCGCTTAAACTCGGGCCGGTGCGGTATACGTGCCGGAGTAAGTTTCAGCGTTGCTGTCAGCTGTAACATGAGATACGTGGTCTGTGTTGCCGACCACGAAGCTCGGCCTTCCATGCAGTCGACGTAGGGAGATCTTCTTGAAGGCAGCGTACGAACGGGGCGAGCCGTAAATCTCGCCCGTCGGCGCGGGCGCGGGAAGTGCTATGCATGCAAGTTTGACAGCAGTGACCCGCGAGTGCGAAAAAAAAAGAAGAAAAAAAGAAGAAAAGCTCCGAAAGTTGCGAAACTGGCGTTCGTCGGGACAGATTTTCTCATGGTGTCGTTTACCGAACCGTCGCGCATGCGCTGATGAAGCTTGTCGACCACGTCGCTCGGTTCCTTTCGTGTGTCCAAGGTGCAGCTTGAAGGCGTCCTTGGGGTCTCGCGTGTTCGTTTTGAGATTTAGAAGTGGCACCCGTGGTGCGCTGTCTCGTGGCGTGGTTGCAGGCATCCGATACTAAATGAGGTGACAGGCTGTGGTTCAATAGCGGCGTTTAAACCTGCGAGTGTGGTCGAATTTGTAGGCTTCATAACGCAGCTGCACAGCGCCTTGTGTTCTCCGAACCGACACCGTGCGTGTTACACACAAGATCCGGAATTACCAGAGTGCCAGATTAGAACATATACAAACCGTCAGGACATGAAATCTCAATTGTAAAAAATAAATAAAAATTAAAGTAGAGTGCAAAAAAGACAAGACACAGGAGATAAGTAGACAGGAAGGAGCGTTCTACCAGATTCCGGTGTCTAGCTTTCTTTTGCCCTCTACTTTTATTTTTAGCCAACGCACCAACTCGCCCAGCAACTCATTCTATTACCTCATTTGTAAGTTTTTTTGCGTGGCTTTGTGGCCTGTTTTATGCATGCAGAATAACAGGCTAGACTCCAAGAGACGGCAAGTGGGACAGGGTGCAGACAGAAAATTAGGTGGGCATGTGAGATTAATAAGTTTGCGGGTTTATAACGGGACCACATGAAACACTGGAAACAAGGGAGAGGCATTTGCCCTGTAGTGGACGCGTTGTAATAATAATAATAATAATAATAATAATAATAATAATAATAATAATAATAATATAATAATAATAATAATAATAATAATAATAATAATAATAATAATATTGATGATGATGGTGACGGGTTTCGTTTTGCATTCTTTTCAACGCTCGTGTTTTTGAAATTCCCGATGCTTGAGAGACCCTAATCTAAAACTGTTTAATGCCAAGTGTTCCATCTATTTCTGCGTCGACAGCAGATGCAGCTAATTCTCATTATCCTACCTATAACATGCACACAACCGCGCGCGCACACACACACATTAACAAGAATTATTAGTTTGTGTTTATGCGTATTTTTTATTTTCTGTTTTCCCGACCATCGCGTCACACTTTTTTAGGGAAAGCGGGTCGTGAGGGGTTAACCGCTCCGCTATATAGTTTTATGTCACCGGCAGCTATCTCTATGATAAAGAGAAACCTCGGGTTGTTTGACGAAACCTGGGGCGTACATATTGTCCTAATTTTAGGTACTCCACGAAGAATAAAAAAAAAATCACAGGGTTCTTTGTGCATTTATATAGGATGACTCGAAAGCGAAATACATATTTTTTCTTTTAGTCGGTGTATTGATCGTGCCTCGCTGTGTACGCACGGAAAGCTTACGGTAAATCTGCAGTGCCCCCAAGATCGGAGGTTTGGAAAACTTTTTGCAACTCACCTGGTTTCGCACTGCCTCCGTGATTGGTGGCCAACCTTTCATCAAGTCACGATCTGACGTCACGCGATGTTGTATCATAGTGACGTAATGATGACGTAACATTGTGATCTTTTCACGCGGTGATTTCTTGCATAACTCGTGTTGGCGCCGATGCCGCGATACGCCGGCCGTTTTTCGCGTTTGACGAGGCATATTGTTCGAAATTAAAAATCCACAGATATTCGATATTTCCACAGATATTCCCTTTATATGGGTGTTTTTCTGAAAATAAACTTCAGTTGTTAAGGCTGGTGCACACCGGCGACTAGCAGTGGTCGCGCGACCATTTGCGACTGGTTGCTAACAGTCGTGAACGGTCGCAAACGGTCGCAAAGCACTGCATCGGCTAGTCGCTTCTTGACCGATTTTTCAGTCGCTCGACTGCAGTCGCAAAGCTGCTAGAACCAATCAGTGATGCTCAATATTTGTTTTCTTGTGTTTTTTTTTTCAGCGCTGGCCCAGAAGGGACGAAAACAATAAATGCGGAGCGCTCGGTTCGCTCCGTTCACTCATCTGGCGGCGATCAGCTGATCGGCGCCGGTGTCCAGAGTTCTCGCTGATGACGAGATCCGGACGTGACTCACACTGTCTCTGTGTCGTTGTTTTGTTCTCGCGCTATAACTATCGTCATGCCATACCAACTAGCCCAAGCTGCCACACTTCTAAGTGACTCTCCAGTTTTGCGACTTCCGGTCGCTCGCATGCAGCCTCTGCCGGTGTGAACATCAGTCGCTTTTTGGTGACCAGTCGCGAATGGTCGCGCGACCGCTGCAAGTCACCGGTGTGCAGCAGCCTTTAGTCTGCGCCTGTCTGTGGTCCCTTCTTGTCAGATGTTTTTTTTTTTTTTTGCGCAAAATGCCTCTCTGATTAGAAAGCCAACTCGCCCAACACTTGATTCTTCAAAGACGCTGCAAATACTTCGTATTATCATGCACTGGCTGTGACGTAAAAACTGCCTAAAGGAATCCTCGTTAACTAAACTGTGCTAGGATTTATCGTCACCTAATTTATTCTCTGGTATTGTTATTTCGTTCTCAGCTTCATTTCGCATAGGCGCACCTCAGGCAAATACACCGTTGAACTAAAGTGGTTGAGCAAAACAGCAAATGACACTCGCTGTCTGTCGCCAAGCTTTCCGGGAAACAATCTCTCGCGATCCGACTGGACCATCTTTGTGTTGTCGTTGCGATCCTTGTCGTTGGGGTGATGCAAAAATACATCGTTTACGTGAAGGCGCACGTGTCAGCCAGGGAGTGTTTTGTTGTAACCTGATACCCTGACGCGGCGAAGGAGAATACAATAAGCGAGGGCTTGATTAATAGCAGAGATACACCAGAATACTTCGGCGTCTGTGGTAATTGTAGTGAAGAAAAAGAAATGGTTAGCGTGATGCACGACTTTTCCTAATTTTTTCTGGGAGAGAACGTGCAGATAATTACAGTCTATTGTACGCCATGAAATGGATAGCATTGTCATGCTGCTGTACATTAATTAAGATGTCGAGCGTGTGACCATGACGCTTTCGCGGCCTATGAATAAAGGTGTGCATAGTAAAAACGTGCTGTAAATAAATAACGCAATGACGGGGAAACAATTTTCTACAGCTTTATTGTAAAGTTCAGAAGTCTCAAGTATACCTATTTCTAATAATGTTTACACGTCTATGATTGTAAGTAAAGGAAGAACATCTTTAAGTACTACTCTATTCACTGGTAGGCAGCCCACGCCCTTGCCACAATCTCCATAGCCTTGGTGAGACACTCGTCTTGTATCGACGAGATTGGACCGAGGTGTGGCTGTCGCTGTGACGGTTGCTTGTGCTGTGGACGCTGGTGCTGGTAAGGCGCCTTGTGGCCTCCCGTATGCTGCCCAACTGGAATGGCCATCTCGCCCACGGCTTCGTACAGGCCCACGAAACTGGCCTGGCACTTGACTCGCAGGGCGGCTCTGCTTACGCCGTGCTGCTTTACTGGGATGTTCGCAGAGAGCGTGGTCACCTGGAAGCCGTCCGGGTGCGTGGTGACTTTAGTCCTGACGTCGGCGTCGATCAAGAGGCGGTCGTTGACGTACACCGCCAGTTTGGGAGCCGGCCTGGACCGGCTGGAGGTGCAGTTGAGGCGCACGAACTCTCCCACCTGTAAGACTCCCTGTCGTACGTGATGTGTGGTCTCATGTCACGTTGGTTCTGCGAGAAAGTGACGAAAACATTTAAGTAAAAAAGATGTTGCGGTATTAAAGATCCATTCCCAGAATTTTGATCTATAATTAGTACTGTACCCCTCGGTGCACTTAGAATTTGATATTATGCACGTGAAAAGCGAAAGGTTCGAAAAGGGGAAATGGAAAGTGAGGCAATTCAAAAAAAGAAAGACGAAGCAACCGAATGAGAATGGCCATCGATGCTTGTAGGAGACCATGACGAAGACGACGAAGTTGAAGGATCTCAGCAGCAACAAATGTAATGCCACAGCGGGTGCTAGAATTTGATTATATATTTCAAAGAGTGCTAAACTATTACCCACCAGATATTTAAAAGGGTTGTTTGAAAACTACCTCAAGAGCGTGCGGATAAATCACGTAGTAGCTTCACGTGCTTCTGTAACTGCGTGAAGGGTGGAGTGGGAATCTGTTCAAGGGATCTTAGGTTGGTCCTTTTATCTTCGCTTGCCCGACCTCACACCGATATTTATAGGTAAAAATAATCACACTTATTCTTGCACTGTCTACCCCCCATCACACTTCCTTTAGTAGTGGTGCTAACGGACCTATTTTCCGTGTGCACTGCTCTAACAGCATTTCACTCATCGAGCTGCCTAGCAGAACTTATTTGTATATGTCAAATTATGTGCTTAACGTCCACCTGGTTCGCGATGCAGGTCACACTGGATTAGAAATAAATGAAGCGGCGGACACCCTAGCGGCATCATCCATTCAACGACCTGTTCTAAATATTCTAAGACCTTTCCGCAACAAACACGTTCGCACGATTCAGAATTCACGGAGGAACGTACTGAATCCTATGTGCTAAGCGAGCACCAATTTCCCAGCACCTTTGGTATTTGGTGGAAATAGCTCATAGAGCAGCACAAGACAATGGAAGCTACGTTAACAAAATCGCGATGCAGACTACCGTCATTACATTTTACTTAAACGGGCCTGGATTCGTTCCTTCTCCCAATGAAACTTTTGTAATGAAGCAGGAACGACCGAGAATTTCTTTATGGAATGTCGAACACATAAAAACCTAAGCAATATTTCTGAAACCACCTTTAAAAAAAGTAACCTTGAGCTTTCTACATTGGCATTGCTCTCGCTGGGGACGTCAGCACTGGGACACTTGCAACATGGTCATTTACGATGCTGTATCAAATTATTTAAAATAATCAAAGTGGGTACCATGTTTAATACTATGAGTACATCTAAACATTAGGCTTTAGTTTATCTATTCACCTTAACTGTATCAATTAATTACTTCATATGTTCAACTTAAGTGAGCATTGCACTTAAAAGTACTAAAAGTATCACAAATAGTTTTGTTTCTCTTTAGAATATCTTTTCGCATAGTTTTGCGCTTTTTCTCCTGTGTCTTTCTTCTTTTATTATTTCTTTTATTTTTCCCTCCCAAATCTACGTCGTACGCCTCGTGCTGATCCCACGGGTGGCCTTGGGTTGTGCCATTCTTTCGGAAATAACCATCTTGATTATCACCGGTCAGGTTGTTATGTGCTCACTACAATTTATTATTTGTATATTTCGCCCGATATTGGAGTTCGGCTGCGTCCTTGTATTTGGTGGCATCGGTTTTCTCTTGGTTTTCTAATACGCAAATCATTAGGTTTATGTCTTGAGCTACCATGTTTGTCGCAAATAATATTTTACATAAATAATTGCGCCGTCTTTATTTCGCACATGGTTCTACACTCTTACAGGCTTAACTTCTTACAGTATATGCGTCCCCACAAAGGAGTCAGTATGCTTTTATTAATAAGCCGACAACATTTTTCCCAATCAGTGGTCTAGATTAAGGTGCACAGAATTCATTTTCGCTATTTGGCGATATATTTCCCAAAAATTGCTGTCATTTTTCTAGGTAGAACCTCAATGTCTGTTTTAGAAGGCCATTCTCAACTCAGAAAATAAACATCGCAATATTGACTGATGCTTCACGTTGTGAAGAAAAAGCAGGAGTGGGAATTGCATAATTATCTCGGACGGTCTTCAATTAGTTTCCTGGACTTCTTATTTCTCCCGTGAATTGCAATTGTCCCTAGCTTTACGCTAATTGCTGTCTTTACGCAAATCGGCCGTGTTCTTCATTACCTGCCCCTAATTTGTCAGATATCTTGGAAGTATTTAGTTCCAAGACATTTACGTCTTATTCGCATGGTGTAAGTACCAGGTGACAAAGTGAATGCAGATGCACTCGCAGTATCATCCCATGATAGTCCACAATTTGTATATGGCGACGTTGACATTCGTCTCTTCGGTGCGATTTGAAAAAAAAAAAAGCTCGTCAGATACTTCGCTAAATCTCCTTCGTAAATATCCGAGTTTCTTCGTCTCAATTATTCTAGCAGAAATTGATGGCGCTCCACTAAAAGGGCAGAAATACCAATTACCGGCATATGATGCCGGGTCCCCCACTGAATTTGCATGAACGGGTCTGGAGCAGTTAGATTTATGTTTCTATTGCAATGAGAGTGAATCTCTGGATCATTTAGTTTTAACATTAAACTTGTTTACAAACCAGAGAAAACAATTTCTAGGTGAAACCTGCTGACAGATGTGCTTGAATTTATTATTCCTGGTTGCTTTTTTTATTGGTGCTACTGAACTGGGCTTTATTCACGGGAACGTCCGACCTATCTTAGAGTACATCTCTGTGGCGTTGGACCCACAAACAAAAACTTTGTCTAATATGCTTGAGATCGTCCAAAACCGCGCATCTCGTTTTGTGATGGGCAACTACAACTTCAGTGTCAGTGTCACTGCACTTGAAGATAGGTTAGGGTGAGATTTGTTGGTATTACGTAGGAAACGCTTGAGATTAGAAATGCTATTCAAAATATTTCATGGGTTGATCAAAATAGATAAAGAATCTTACCTTTCAACTCCCAAATTTTTTCTAAGAACTGACCACCCCATAAAAGTAGGAGAATTTTTTGCAGAACAAACATTCATCAAAACCCCTTTTTTCCGCTCACAATCTCCCAGTAGAATCGGCTCCCACAGGAGGTTGCAGACTGCCGCACTGAAACATCTTTTAGAAACATATTGCTACTGTCATACCTGCATTTTTATGATCTGTTTGTGTGACCATCTTTTTTATGAATATTTCTTTTTGTGTAAGCGTATTTTACGTTCTGTATTCCCCCCTGCAAGAATGCCTTCAGGCGCTGCAGGTACTTTTTAAATAAATAAATAGACGTCTGTGATGTCGTGTATGATTTTATATGTGAAGAAAAACAAATTGAGCGTTCTGTTTATCTAACTTCAGCTTGTTTTTCAACCATAGGCTTGTCATTATTTTCGTTCCTTGATTTGGCCAATGAGTTACTGTGTACGTTATCTGTCTTCAAGCATATATGAAATACAAAACAATTTAAATACCTGAAACAAGGAACCATTTGTTTCATGGCCGAATTCCGCAGTGGGTTGTGCCAGCTTACTAAGGAACGACCGACCGGGCAACCAACCGTGCATCTCGTCTGCCACGATGGTCTTGTCTTTGTGTGACACAACCGCACTTGTCATGCGTACAATTACCTGCTTTGCGAGGACACATTGCGCAATATGTTAACACGAGTGCGCATAGCTACGCGCAGCTGCACAGTCAGTAATCTGCCAAATGTTTTGCGTAACGTAGGTTTCACACTGCATAGAAATTGAGTAACCTAATTAAATATATAACGGAAATGGAAACATTGTTGTCTGCCACGACTCCGGCTGTCTGCAAGAGCACTCTAAGGGCAAAATCAATAAATTGGAGGTGCAGTAGCCTCTTGGGTATTGCGCATACATACCAAACACCGCAAGCCTTTTCTCGTCTTGGACCGTGAGAAAAGGCGGAACATCGGAGCTGGCTTCGCAGCGGTAAGCGCCTGCACTCAGGGCACTCAGGTTCTTCAGGTAGAGGGACGAATAGTTGCTCTGCAGCATCTGCGGTCGCGCAGGTAGAAGATTGATAAGCTCTAATGAAGGGAGCATACTCTTGTCGGCGTACATGTGAAATGAGCGCACCTGACAAACATTGCAAAGAATTGGCCTTGTTGGCTTAATTATCATTCTGTTTAGTGTTTGATGTTCGTTCCGTGGAGCAGCATGACCGACGCAGAAATTGTGGATTCGAAGTATGCGTAATCTTTTCACTTGAAGACGTCAATCTGACGCTATCGGAGGACGCCACTCACAGTTTAACACCTGACGACTGGAACGAACGGAAACTCATAAAACTGTAACAAGTAACCCTTCGATCATTCTTGTGTTTTGCCTTCTATTACAGCGCGTGCGGAGGTTCTTAAAAGTTCTCTTTTTATAAGCCACATATTTTGTGAGATGTATGCTTCTGCCTCATCAACTATTTTTCAACGCTATGTGGCTTTTGTGAGGGTCACAACCCACATTACATGATGGAAACTTTTTGTCAACGTTCGCAATACACTTAAACCGGAAACGACTCACTGTTTATGCTGTAATACCATACGATTTCAATTTAACAGTATTCATGTGGTTGCCAATACAATATATCTGATAGTAGAAGTCATCCCTGAAGAGATGGGAAAAAGAAGGGCAACGCTTAAATAACTGTAAAGATAGTTTTCTGCGGGACATGCCAAATATATACTTACATCCACTGTCACTCCTGTCACGCTGTACATTTCTCCCGGTGGCCTGTTGCGGGGAATAAACGTGTATAATACTTTGTCGTCCTTGAACCACTTGAAGCTGTACAGGGGCAAGCTGCCAAAGTTGTGCGCACAGTTGAGACGCACAGAACCACCCAGGATTCCGATTGGTGGCTGGTCTATTGACAGCGGTGTTTCTGCGGAGTGTGGATTGAAAACATAAACACGTACATGATCAATCAATCGAGAAACTGTGGCAGCATCAAGTTCGCTGGCGGTAGTTGGCGCGCAACTTATGCTTTGCTGGTTCCGGGTGCCTATTTTCGTTTTTTTTCTCTGCCTTGGTTCATGGCTCTACGCGTCACAGGCCAGCAAAGCGACACGGACATTGCTAAGTTTTCTAAAGACGACCGGACTACGCGACCGCTTATAAGCATGCAATGGACAAGGTCACATCTACACACACGTTGCAATTCACTTCTCTCTCTCTTCTCCCTTAATCCCCTCACCTCTTCCCCCAGTGCAGGGTAGCAAACCGGACGTGCGTCTGGTTGACCTCCCTGCCTTTCACTTCTTCCCTTCCTCCTCCTCCTTGTTCTCTGCACCCTGTATCTGTTTTTTGCCGTAAGAATCAGCGGCTGCGATCACTGCAACATAAGTGCGCCTCTTATTTTCTATGCCCAAGTGTTGAGAAATTAAAGGTGTCACAATTCCTGAAAAGTGGCGAGCTTGTATCACCTTGTTGATTTTACTTCTACCATGTATTCATACACAGCAAGCTTACTAACTAAACTATGATGCATGAAATACGTTGTTGGTCATCGTTCGAAAGCTTTGCGTGACGCCTCGTTCTGATGTGACTTTCGGGCGGCATGCCCACAATTGACATCGTTACGAAAATTACAGCGATCGCCTGGTGGTTACGAAGTTCTATCACTGTTTTACAATTTCGCGGATGCTTAGCCGTAACAGTAAAATTCCGACGGAGGTAAGGATGTCAAAATTCTACTGTGCCGAGAATTCGGCGCACATCAGTGCTGTAAAGCCAGTGTAAACAAACATTGAAATACCTACCAAGACATCCCTGCTCATATT